AGGAAAGGGAACATTATTTAATTTCCCTTTTAAACGGGCTGAATATAAACAGGAAAATGAAATCTTTCCAGTCTCCTTGAGCTGTAACTTCTAGAAAACCTTGACCAATATAGCTCACCTTTAAAGGCAAGGGAAATGAACGTGGTGAGATATCATCAGGACTTACTTAGGTAGACTTGGAATTTTTCTTTTTTTTTCTTCCTTCACCTTCTCTATGGAAACGTTACTACTTGAAACTTTTAGTGGTTCCAGTGCTAACTTACTGTAGACCATATCCAGACTTCTGCCAGTATTTGATCACCTAGGCCATGTATCTTTTCAGAATTTTGTTAATTTGCTCCCATGTTTTTAAATCTAAAGACCCTTTTTCAGGGTACCAAGGACGATAATGATCTACAGCCTTCTAAAGTATCATTAAACATAACAAACTTTCATTCCATTATGTTTAAACAATTGAGATAACAAACAATAGAAAGACTTATAGAGAGAAAATTGCCACATTATCCATACTCATGTCTCTGCTTCAGATTCCCCCAATTGATTTTTGACAACTTAGCAGATAACTTAGAAGACATCTTTTTTGACTTACACTTTTTCAAACCTTCTCATGCACGGTTCCTGTACAGGCGCCACTTGTCCAGCCCTACAACAGGTCTGAGAGTGGGGATCAGAGAGACTTAAGGAAAATATAAACACAAAATAGTTGGGTGCAAGGGATTAAAAACTTCAAGAATCTTAAGTAACTTTATTCAGCACAGGCCAAGTGTTTAAGCAGTATCCACAAACAGAAAAAAAATCATACTAATTTTACCAGGATGTGCAAACATTTTGTAAAGAACATTATCTCAGAACAAACATCTTCTCCAGTGGTTTTTCAAGGAACATATTCCCAGTTCTTTACAGAAATGCAGGTTTTTCTGTTGACAAACTGTGGTTAGTTGGTCTGTGGGTTCTCCATTATCATACTGATAAGACTTTGTCAGTTGAACATTTCCTAGCTCATCAACTATCCTCTTATAACTCCCCAGGAGAATGCTTTATTTGGGTCATAAAAGTTGATCATGCTATATGTATTAATCCTGAATTTAAATTAAGGAAAGTATTTAATATTTTGTTATTGGTGTTCAATATAGGGTAATTTGTTAGTAGGTTTTGGTGGCTCTGGGATCTTGATTCAGTCCAGGGATCTGCCACTTACAAACGGGATGATTTATGGTAGATTGTTTAATTCCTCAAAACCTTGTGTATAAAATAGAGAAGATAATCTTTGCCATTGTTCTATTTGGTTTAGATGTAACAATGCATATAAACAAAATGCTTTTCATAGTAATTAGTATAGTTTGCATAGCTCTGATGGCCTAGTGGTAAGAAGCTGTACTGCAATCCTGAAGGGATTCAATTCAGATCCACTGGCTGCTCCGTGGGAGAAAAATCGGCAGTCTCCTCCCATGTGATGTACTGCCTCTGGAAGCCCACTGGAGGGTTAGCTGTGGGTTAGTTCTGACACAGTACTCAACAACAGTATAGCTTCATAAGTGTTACTTGTAGTTTTTCTTCTGGTTGGGAAAGTATCTATCTTGTTATATACAATTTTAGAGGGATATTAAAATATATTTTTGTTATTTTAAGGAAATTCGAAATGAGTCCCATGACTATCCTCATAGAGTGGCCAAGTTTCCAGAAAACAGAAATCGAAACAGATACAGAGATGTGAGCCCATGTAAGTACTTGTGACTTATGTGTATGTGTGTGTTTGGTAGTTGGCTTGAAGAAGCAGGATTTGGTGAAAATGAATTTTGGGGACTAGGGTTAATAATTTCTCCCCCTCCCCCCACTTTAAAAATAATACATGTTCTTGAAAGAAAATTTCAAGGAATAGAGTAGCAGAAGAAGAAACTTTACGGTCCCGGCTCGCGTGGCGGGGGCGGCGGCGGCGGCAGCGGCAGCGTCTCCGTGAGGAGGCGCGCGGGGCCATGACTTCAGCGTCAACCAAGGTTGGAGAGATCTTCTCAGCGGCCGGCGCCGCCTTCACGAAGCTCGGGGAGCTGACGATGCAGCTGCATCCCGTGGCCGACTTTTCGCCCACGGGTGCGAAGTGGACAGAGACGGAAATAGAGATGCTGAGGGCTGCTGTGAAGCGATTTGGGGACGATCTTAATCACATCAGCTGTGTCATCAAGGAACGGACAGTGGCTCAGATAAAGGCCACTGTGAAACGAAAAGTGTATGAAGACTCTGGCATTCCCCTTCCAGCCGAATCACCTAAGAAAGGGCCCAAGGAAGTGGCATCTGGTGTTCTGTTGCCTCCTCCAGCAGCCCCCCCCCCACCTAGCAGCTCCATTGTCCCTGAGGCCGGAGGCCCCCCCTGTAAAGAAGCAGAAAGCTCATGTGACACTCAGTGCTCTGAACGACTCTGATGCCAACAGTGACCTAGTGGATATTGAAGGGCTGGGAGAAACTCCTCCAGCCAAGAAACTCAACTTCGACCAGGCCTGACCTTGGATTCTGGACTTCTCATGACCTCTGCTGACCCTCCTCTACTCTCCCATTGAGACTTGCACCTCTGACCCCTCTTACTGTTCATCCTGCACGTGTATAGTTAGTTACCTGGGACTCTACTGAGGCCTACACAAGATCAAAGGACTGCTGGGGCTGGGAAGGTCCACTGTGCTGCTCCCCTATGTAGGCATCTGCCTCTACCCCCTTTGACCTCCACCTAATGGACATTTTTTATACTGAAAATAAAGACTTTTCTCGCAACTTAAAAAAAAA